AATAGATCCAAATACTTTCAGATGACTTAAGCTAGGCTTCACACCAGACCAACATTCTTCTGGAGTAATTCCTTCTAGCTTCTTTGTAGGACTTCTATTCAAAATGTATGTTGCAGTCGAAACAGCTTCACCCCAGAACTCTTTAGGTAAACTCTTGCCTTTCAACATACTTCTCACCATATTCATGATGGTTCGATTTTTCCTTTCTGCAATTCCATTTTGCTGTGGAGTATAGGGTGGCACCACCTCATGCACAATCCCTTCTTTTTCACATAATCTGTCGAAGTCTTTCGACACATATTCTCCTCCACCATCAGTTCCCAAAACTTTGAGTTTTCGTCCACTTTGTCTTTCGACCATAGACTTAAACCTGGTGAATACTTCGAACACTTCACTTTTCTTCTTGATCGGGTAAGTCCATAGCTTTCGACTGAAATCATCTATGAATGTAACAAAGTATTTGTTACCTCCCATTGAATCCACCTGGATTGGTCCACATACATCAGAGTATATGACTTCGAGACTAGCCTTCGATTTGCTTCATGTATCCTTGCTGAAGCTATTCTTGTGTTGCTTCGCCTGCACACATTCTTCACATACTTCGTTTGGAATGTCAATTTCAGGCAATCCTGAAACCATATTTCTTCTCTTCAAATCTCTGATGTCTCTGAAGTTGAGATAACCAAGTCTATAATGCCATATCCATTCATCTCTGCTAGCTGCAGTCGAAAGGCACTTGTGCTCCATCACATTTAGTTAAATCTTGAAGGTTCGATTCTGAGACATAGGAGCCTTCAAGATTACTTTCCCATTTGCATCAACGACTCTCATCAACTTATCTTCGATTGATACTTTATAATTCTTTTCGACCAACTGCCCTATACTGAGCAAATTGCTCTTCATGCCTGGTATGTACAATACATTCGAAATTACTGACTTCTTGCCATCTTTCCTCATGATCATAACATCACCAATACCTTCTGCTGCTAGGGTGTTGTCATTTGCAAATTTTACCATATTCTTCGTTGAGGGTTTTATATTGACGAACCAGTCTTTCCTTCCAGACTTATATGATGAACATCCTGAATCCAAGTACCATTGGTCCTTGAATCTATCTTCATCTTTTGTTGTGACCATCAGCATCATCTCTTCTTCTTCTTCTTCTTCTTCATGTTTTGCCAGCTTTGCATCACTTTCTTGATTCTTTCGTTTTTCTGGACAATCACTCGAAAAGTGTCCATATTTCTGACAATTGTAACATTGAATGTGACTCTTGTCAGGTTTTCGACCACCATCTCTTCCTCTGTTTGCAGCACCACCTCTTTGGTTGGCTTGGTGTGGTCTTCTTTGATTCGACACGTCTCCTTCGATTTGGTTTCCTCTACCATTCGATTTGTTGTAGCCACCTCTACTTCTGTCGAAATACTTTCCTTTGCCTTTGGTCTCTTTTGCTGAATGTGCCTGCAAGGCCACATCACTCTTCGATTTTCCTGCAGCTCTTTTGTTTATTCTTTGTTCATGAGATTCGAGCGTCCCTTGAAGCTCTTCCTTTGTCAATTTCGACAAGTCTTTCCCCTCTTCGATCGCCACCACTATGTGGTCGAACTTAGGAGCTAAAGATCTCAAGATCTTCGAAACAACAGCTCTTCTTGTTAATGTTTCTCCACATGTCTTGATTTGATTCACTAGTTTTGTAACTCTAATGAAGAAATCAGATATGTTTTCACTGTCTTCCATCTGAAGCAGTTCATAGGTCCTTTTGTGAGTTTGTAACCTCACTTCTTTCACCTTCTCAGCGCCTCCAAAAGACTTCTTAAGGATCTCCCAAGCTTCTTTTGTAGATTCTGAATCACTGATCTTTTCGAAATTGTCTGGGCTGACACATTGATGAATTATAAACAATGCTTTATAACTCTGTTTCTCAGATTCTGTATATTTCTTCTTTTCTTCTTCTGAAGCATTTTCGCCAAGCGCTTCGACTCCATCTTTTACAAGGTCCCAAAGGCCTTGACACCTTAATAGAACTTTCATCTGCTTGCACCAATTCTCATAGTTGTCAACTTTCAGAATTGGCAGCATTGCTGGATAGTTTGCATTCCCATAACTTGTCATCGTGAATTCTTCAATCGTTCTTGATTGATACTTCCCTTGAATCGTAACACAAGCTCTTTGATACCAGATGTTGGAAATCCACCAATACTTTATGATGAATTTCGACCACCACTGATGATTAGTTATGACAAACAAATAAAAAGAACACTAGAAATATTTCTGCAGAATTTCTCTTCTGCCCACAAACTGTGGAATCTTTATTATTTCACTTTGCAACTGCAAAATACTGTGAATGACTTGATTACAAAATAGAGGTTACTCCCTCTATTTATAGATTTAGGTTAGCTTGCTCCCTAAGCTAAAACCCAAGCCCAAAATATCTTTTTACTAAATCAAATCTAATCAAATATATTTTAGATTTAAATTCAAATCTATTTAAATCTAAACAAATCAAATCTTCTTTTGACACATATGAATTACAATTTAACAATGATTGAAATGAAGAATAGAAAAAATGAAAGAAGTTGAACTAAAGATATGTTTGATTTGTTAAAAAAAGGAGACTAGATACGAAAACTTTTTCATAATCGACTTGAAGTTGAAATTAATTATGAGACCGGATAAAACAGATCGCAGAGAACGAGACAAAAACATAAATTTTTATCCCTCAATAAACTTTTATCTCAAACACAAATTATCAAAAAATAAAAATAAAAAGTAATGTTTATCATATCTATCTCTTGTCATCTCCACCAATAACAAACTAACACCTGTCAATTATTACTGCCAGATACACCTATCAATGAAACATAGCTTGGGGAAGGACACATCTATTGGTGGAGCAGAACAACTACAAATGATTATTTTTTCGAAACATGTCGCAAGATGATTGGATAGGGAAGATTCTAGGATACTTTCATTTGTCTTTGATTAATCAACGCTAATATTATCATTAATTAACTTGTGTTGGTTCGTTTTCAGTTTGTGTCTTATTTCTATTCTTAATGGTTGAATCTTTTACGTATATATTCTTTTGTAATTTGGTTTTGGATTTCATGTTAGACTTGCTTAATTGTATTTAATTGTATTTGATGTGTATACGACTGCTTCACATTTGATTCTTTCATAAATAGACTGATTTAATTATATTTTTTTAAGATTGTATTTTTGTTATATTTTTATTATATTGTTGCTTTATTAAAAGAAATTTTTTTGTTCCAACCCAACATCCACCAAACACACGCCTAATTGTTGTTCATATCATGACATTAAACACACGCCTAATAATGTTAGAATTGCCTAAACAAAAATGCTACCAAACTATCTTAGTCCAATAAAAAATAATTAAAATTAATATATGTTGTCTTGTTTTAAAATTAAATATATCAATTTTTAATTTTTTTAATTTATATTTTATTTATAAGGAGTAAATTTTAAGAATCATAGGTAGACAAATGAAAAATTGTATGTTTGAATCTTTGCTCCAACACATTAAGTATTTGTATAATTATTTTTATTTTTCTACATTATAGAATAGGAATTTGAGCTTATTTGATCATAAAAATGTATTAACGAACGAGTTTAATAAATATATAATTTTATCTTATTTTATTTTATAGATGAGTATATTATCATATAATAAATTTTAAAATTTAATTAGTATGTTTGATGAGTTTGACAGCATTTTATGTTGTTATTAAAATCTAAAGATAAAATATATATTATATTGTTGTAAATTTTATTTGAAGGTGTCTAATATATAATATTGTTACAAGAGAAATTAGTAAAGTTGTGACGTAATATTTTAATTTATAATTTAAAGATGATGTATTTGATGATGTTGAGGTTATTCTGCATAATATTAATAAAGTGTTGAGCAAGCAACATATAAATGGTTCTTTGATTAAGATCACAATAAATTATTTGAATACTTTTAACATAATAAAATGATCAACCATATTATTTGAGGGAGAGTGAGATTTTCATCTATTTCTTTGTATATTGAATTTCTTTATAATCAAATAACGAAGTTGTACCTAGAGAATAAATATATTATTATGTTAACCATTATTTATAGTGTGACAAAACAGTTCTTTAGAGTCACTCCTTTTTACTATTTACTAAGTGTATTACACCATCTTATTCATAAGATAAACATTTAGGTCAAAAATATTCTATTGTATAAGTAGTGTAGTTGAAAAACCTTGTGATAAATAATCCTCAAAATCGATTTAAATAAAATAATCAAATATGAAAAAATGTATTTTAAGAATAAATATTTTTCATATCATTTTTTATATTTTTGATTTTCTAAGATAAAAAAATCTAAAAATTCATGTATTACAATGTAATATCTCATAAAATTATAAATATAACTAAAAAAAATGTAATTTTATTATTTAAAAATAATAATGACACAATGTACTACACACTTGTCTTGTTTTCTATGTAATCCTCAAAACTACTCTTCAACATTATAAAATTGTTTTTATGAAAAATATATATTAAAATAGAGTAATATACAAAAAAATCAATTTTTATTAAATATTAATATAAAATACAAAATAATCAATATGCTTCTTTTTAATGACAAAAATAATATATATATAAAAAAAGTCAAGAAATATAACGATAAAATACAAGACAAAAAGCACAATACATTTTACTCTTAAGTCTAGATCATTTAACCAAAATCATTTAAACTTTTATGTTTCACAAAACGAATGACTTTCACATAATAAAAATCTACACTATTTTTAATATATTAAATTTTACTTTAGTTTTATGATAATATAAAAGTAATTGATAATTATTAAAAACAATTTTATAAATATGTTATATTCATTGTTTCACTTATTATTTTTTTATTTTGGTAGGGAGGGAGTAATAATTAAAAGAAATATTATATTAAGTGAATCATGTAGAATATTCTTGTGCATCAATCAACAGCAACTTGTTTATTCAATTTGTTGAATAAAAAAAACAGCAACTCGTTTGTATTCTCTGTCAACTTGTTGTGTATTATAGCCTCTAACTCCTTCTTCTTTCTCTTCGTTCTTCACCCCAAATCACACAACGCAAAGATCTTCAAAACAAACCGCAAATCTTTCAAAAGGTTAATATATATAACCCATCTCAATTTTCTTCCATGCTGCATTTGCTTTTTCGCTCTTCTCTTCTTTGTTTTTAAATTTTGTAATTTGGTTTTGATTTTGCGGTTCAAGTTTCGTTCTTTTTGGTTTTTGTTTAAATGGGTGTTTGAATTGGTTTAGATTTGTATCTGGGTTTTGAGTTTTGAGGATGCTGCTTGAGGATTGAGGAATGAGGAATTTGAAATTCGTAGTTGGAAATGATTTTTGTGATTTTGATGAAATGTGTGTCGGGAGATTCGTTACGGTTTGTTGTTTATAAGAGTTTCATGATGTATGAAATGTGATATGAAAATTGAGTTGTAAGTGGGAGATGCATATGCGTTGTAAGCCGATTTTGTAGAATTGAATTATGCGCGACCTAAATTTTAAGATGGTATTAGAGTCTCCCCAAGATACGTTAAGTCACCTGTTATTAGCTATTTCAGGTACGCTCCAGATGTCTAGTTGTGGGCGTGAGGAGATGTTTTATTAAGAGTCTCGTATCTCATGAAATTTTCAGATTTCTATCAAAATTGGACTAGTTGTTTTCATTAGTTAAGATTTCAGGTTATTTTTAATCCATAATCTATCATTTTTTTCAACCTTGATTTTCTTTGGCATCTTATACTGGTTTTGTGCATAGAAATTTTATGTAACTTATTTAGCCTGATTTGATTCTTCTGTTACTTATCAGATTTGCTTGTTACTTTCAGGTGTGCTTTTCATTATATGTTCTGATACTCGAAAATTTGAAAGGTTAATCAGGTGTTGCTTTTTTCTTGATTACTCTACAAGTTTTCTACAAAGTTCATATTCTTGGATGTCATAACAAAATTCAGGGAATGCTGAAAGATGTGCTTGCTAGTTAAAAACTCTTTTCCCGAGGCCAACGAGGCTGTACCTCCGTATGAGGTACGCGTAATCATCCTTGACGAGATTGGATGTTTAGTCCAATGTTCATATTTTTATCGTGCTCAAGTGATTGAGGTGGCTACAATTCTCCGCCATTGTAAGATTTCAAAACTTGACGTTGATGAAGATGGTTGAGCTTTGAGTTTCTCGAGAAGCGGCTTCTTGATATTAGCATTGGATTGTACAAAAAAAAGTGTTGCTAGAAATGGAACGAAACGGAAGTGTGCTTATGCAACGATATGAACTCGGGAAGTTGTTAGGCCAGGGAACTTTCGCAAAGGTTTATCATGCAAGGAACCTCAAAAACGGCATGAATGTTGCGATCAAAATTATTGATAAAGAAAGGGTTTTGAGAGTTGGGATGATTGATCAAATTAAGCGCGAAATTTCGGTGATGAGACTTGTCAGGCATCCACATGTTGTTGAGCTTTACGAGGTAATGGCGAGCAAAACCAAGATTTACTTTGTCATGGAGTATGTCAAAGGTGGTGAACTCTTTGATAAGATATCCAAAGGAAAGCTCAATCATGATGATGCTAGGAGATATTTTCAGCAACTGATCAGTGCGGTTGATTACTGTCATAGTCGAGGTGTGTGTCATCGCGATTTAAAACCAGAAAATCTTCTGTTGGATGAAAACGGAAATTTGAAGGTCTCAGATTTTGGGTTAAGTGCGCTTGCCGACACTAAGCGCCAAGATGGATTACTCCATACTACATGTGGCACACCTGCGTATGTCGCCCCGGAAGTGATAAACCGAAAGGGATACGACGGGACTAAAGCTGATATATGGTCTTCTGGTGTGATCTTGTTTGTTATGTTGGCTGGTTTTCTTCCGTTTAGAGATCCAAATTTGATAGAGATGTATAAGAAAATCGGTAAGGCAGATTTCAAATATCCTAACTGGTTTTCATCGGATGTACGAAGATTGTTGTCGAAAATATTGAATCCAAATCCAAAGTCGAGGATATCATTGGCCAAAATTATGGAAAGTTCTTGGTTCAAAAAGGGGTTAAAGAAGCCTATTATTACCAACACGGACAACAAAGAACTAGCTCCTCTCGACATAGATGAAGTATTTAAAGCTTCTGAGAATGGCGATAATGTTGATCTTCCGAAACCTTGTAGTAACCTAAACGCTTTCGATATCATCTCCTTTTCGTCAGGTTTTGACTTGTCGAGTTTGTTTGAGGAGAAAGAACAGAAGACAGAAATGCGATTTACATCCTACAAGCCTGCTTCGGTTATCATCTCCAAATTTGAAGAAATTTGCAAGAGTCTCGGGCTAAAACTGAAGAAAAAAGACGGAGGTTTGCTCAAGTTAGAAAGTTCGAAAGATGGAAGGAAAGGACGTTTAGGTATCAATGCAGAGATTTTCGAGATCACACCGGCCTTCCATTTAGTCGAGCTGAAAAAGTCGAACGGAGACACGTTGGAGTACCAAAAGCTTTTGAAAGAGAGTGTTAGGCCTTCACTTAAAGACATTGTTTGGACATGGCAAGGAGAACAACCTGAAGGACATTGTTTGGACATGGCAAGGAGAACAACCTCGGCAGTTGCAGAAAGATGAACAGTCTTCTGATCGAGCCAATCAGAGATTGTTTTTTGCTTCTTCATTATGTTCTTAGGAATGTACACTGTCTTATCTGCAATTGTCATGTGATAATTGTGGTTAAGCATGTGGGTATGCTTGCTTAGCTTGTGTAACTTTTTGATCATTTGGGTCTTTTGTGCTCTCTTTATTCACATTGTTGGAAATGACATTTACAGTTTGTAGCTTAAATGGTGGCATGATGAAATATTTTATATTGTTTCTACTTAAATTGAGGTGTCTATTCCTATGTTTTCTTCATTTTGTTTGTTTTATTTCAGTTAAATTGCACACTTTTTTGTTAAGATGTATCCACCTAGAAGATTAAAAAAATATATTTATTCTGGATTTATCCATTTGAAGTACAGGTGAGGGGTGGAAAAAGAAGTTTTTTTTCTTTCAAATACATACTTCCGATTTAATGTGCCAATTTCTCTTTTACACCTTGTATAATGAGGCATATCTCTAAAAATTCTAAAATATCGTGGGGTTTATTCAGAGATATATCTCCGAATGCATTAAATATCTTTTTTTTTTTTAAATTTTGTTCGAAGATGCATCTCCGAATAAATTCAAGGTAAATTTGTAGATACATCTTCGAAATACCTTTTTCATTTAGAAGAATTTTTTTAACCACTCAGTGATATTTTTGGAGATACGTCTCCGAAAAGATCTAGTAGGAACTTGAATATATGACCACCTTGTACGATCATCTTCCTCAATCTTCAAACTTCTCCATAACCAGAAAAACCCTTAAAATAATTTCATTATCAATTAACTTTTCGAGTCCAAACCAGATTTCGTGTATTTTATCACATCAAAGAGAGCAAAATAAACTGTAATTTAAGGTAAAGTTTCTCATTTCAAAATTTGACTCGCACAAATGAACACTTTGTCCGAATATACGTATCCAAACTCACCTACATAATTTTGGATGTGTATATCCGAAATTTTTTGTTGCTGATTTTTAAACATTTTCCTGTTTTGGTTCTTATTAGATATGGTTCACCCGGATATATTTTTCAAAATTGTTGTACGTAAGGATGTAAAATAGGAGGTAGCAAAAAATAATGTCAAATCAGCTGAAGTGAAGCATGACGTTAAACAGGAAGAAGTGAAGGATGATGTTAAAGTGATTCTTGTCGAGATCGATGTTGGTCAATGTTTCATGAATGGACAACTGTTTACTGCTCGTGAACATATATTTCAATGGGTTTGTGATAAATGTCAAATTTTAGTTATATTAGTGTATAGTTTTGTGGCACTTATCGACTTATTTCATTGAAATATTGTAAATAAACCTCAATTTGTATGTGATTATGTGCATATTGCGTATAGTTGTGTATAATTGTGTTATCGTGTAAATATTGTATCGTTTGATAGTTTTTCATGTCTTTTTGTAAGTATTCAAGCAATGATATTTATTCATTATAATATAGAGCACTGAATAAGCTTCATAATGCTTTTGATCGTGCGTAAATCAGAGTTACGGTTCTCAAGTTATGGAGAAAGTAAGAGCTGATTTTTTCCGACACAGCAGGTTGCGCGTTGAGCGTCCTCTGTGCGGACTAAGCGCGGTCTGCAACTTTGAAACACTATAAATTTATTTGTACATCATTTTTTCGGTTATGGTTTTGGGGCTTTTTACTCCCAACTCCACCAGAATCATTTTTTGAGTTTAGAGGCTAGAAAATAACATTGGAGGTTGCATCTTGAAGATTCAAAGTCAGATTTCTCATCAATTGTCCTGACACCGCAAGAAATATTTGATTCTTGTTCCTTCTTATCTTTGTATTCTCTATTTGTTGGGGTTTGTATGTAAGTTTACTCTGATTTTATATATATATATATATATATATATATATATATATATATATATATATATATATATATATATATATATATATATATATATATATATATATATATATATATATATATATATATATATATATATATATATATATATATATATATATATATATATATATATATATATATATATATATATATATATATATATATATATTTGTTTATCATGGTGTTGTATAACATCTCTTTTATAAATCAATATCGATGATTGCTTGCATTATGTTGGATTTGAGTTGCTATAGATATATACGGTTCAAATCCGAATTTATGATGAACATCTATTAGTTTCTAGAATCTAGAGATATATTTAGACTTAATATTCACAGTGAGTATCGGTTCTTAATGTTTCTGTGTTGTTTAGTTGCGTGGGAGGAAATCCAACATGTTTTTGAGTTTTTTTATAGCTTTGTGTTTAGTTGTTTAGTTTAATTTGAATTATGTTAAGATGATTAGAATTTTTTTGTGTTTGTCCAAAAGTTTGTTTTGATTGGCTTAAAGATACATATTGTGATTGTCTGAGTTTGATTGTTTCAACATGCAAATGTGTGGTAATGATGATGTTTGAAGTTGATACTATGCAAGGTACATGTTTAATATTTTCTATAACATAGCATGATTATGAAATTTTAAATTTGTACAAATTGGATGTCATTTATTCTTTGCACTACTTCTTCATGATTGAATCACCTTAGATTCAAGCCTTTTTATGAGGAAGCTTTCCATTGTTTACTATATGCACATGAGACCAATAGTTTTGTTTTAACTC